ATTGTGATGGAACTTTTGTGTAGAATTTCATGGCAGGATGATCAAGTCTCGTTGTATTGGGCCATACTTCCTCAAAACTGTCGCTAAATCTATGTTCTTATGTAATGGACTGGTTTGTAAATGTCAAAGAGGGCAGGAGAAGACCGTCACAGGGATCGAATATTCGCCTCACCAATGTTTCTAAGTAGTAATTGCTGCAATGCAATTCTACTGTAACTATTTCTCTCAACCCCCGTTTTCGTTATTTCCGCATTATCTTTGTGAACCTCGTTTCACTACGGGTATTTAGTGGATGGTAAATTTTTGTTCCTTTGTTTTTTTTCCGTGATAGGACCAAAATGTGATTCTGTGCATTACATGTCGGACAGTGTTCGCTTGATCTGGCGAGGAAGGCTACCAGACGAGCTAAAGCGCGTGGTAGAGGCTTTCTTTTAGGCTTATAACCTTTTCAGAGACCTAATCATGATTAAGAGCTTTACTACTCAATATTGATTTTTTTTTATTTACGAGCACTATCTCTTTCTTACAATTAGCCTTCTAGACGTTGACCCATTGACAACCGCGTGGCCCGCTTGCGATAGACAGTAGCATTCCTCTCCTACATCGACTGTTTTTTTCTGGATTTTTTGACACCTTTAGGTATCAGCTACCTCAAAGGCCATTCGGAGAAACTTGAAGTGCAATGGTTTATGAATCGTGAACCTACAGCCATAGAGACAAGAGAAAACAAAGGTTTACGAAGAGCAACGCTGAAAGGAGCAAAATCAAGATATCAAGCTTTCGATTTAATGTATTCCTCGTGATATTTTGGGGAAAAATCTAAAAATATTTGTGCCACTTGCTGCCAAGAGTGTAACAGAATAGAATGAAGTTAAGCAAAAATCTAACTCTATCTTCGAAATCTGAAGCAATGATAAACCATTGAAGGCCGTTAGTTAAGCAATTTTCATCTAACGACCGTTAATGAGGTCCTCCTGGTCCCTACTTGTTGACGTAATCGAGTGGGAGGACAACGTTGTTGGAACCGCGCAACGTTGGTTAATGGTTGAAACTTTTTGGTGTCTGGGAGTTGCTACACCAACCTGGCGCGTTCTGGCGATTGATGTGGAAAGGCACAGATGAGGAGCTCCTAAGCTCTCAGATTCTGGAAGACGACTATTTGTTCGAAAGGTCGACCGAACCAAGTAGTTCTGCATAACAATCTGTACAGCAAAGCAGTGTGAAACATTATGTAGCATGCCCAGGCTTCAGGTTTACCGGACATGGAAGTTCTTTGCAAAGACTTTCAGAGGCGAACTGTGATCTTTGCACTTTTAGGAGCGAAGTAAAAAATTGTGCGTTTTTATTAATGAAATCGAGATTATATGAGACAAATATGTAATGCTATGAACACTTCAAAAACTCAGTAAAGTGAAACTATTTACAGTATGAAGTCTCCTATGGATGAGCAGAATGGCAGAAAAAAACAAGACCTTCATCAAATCACCTTAACTATTAAAATATTGCCAAATTTAGTGCTTCAACATTAAGGATGATTATTGACAACGATATTAACTTTACCTAAAAAACGTCGACAAGAAGTTTCAGAGATCACAGATGAGTACACCAAAAAGGAGCGAGATGAAAGAATACGGAAACAAAGAGACTCGTCATATTCGTATTGACCTGGCACCGAGTCACCTTTGGAAGCGGAGCAGACAAGGGTTTCCAGATGGAATCAGACGATGCTGACCATCGGTGCTCGGTCATAGAGATTCTGTGGCATTCGTAGGTACGTGTCAGAGTCGGATTTGATTGACTGGTTTTCATCAGTAGTACTCTTGGCCACATCGACATGGTCGAGCAGCGCTCGAGAGATATCCCGCTTACGCTCCAACGACTGCGTCGATCCGTCCTCTTCTCGTTCGAATAGGTAGCGCATTCTGAAGAGGCCTTTTAAAAAAAAATAGAAGGTCGCTGCTCAGCGAATTCTGGATTATATTCAGACAACATTCCATGCCCACGATCCGATTCGAACAAAGGGAAAATGAGGAAAGTCATAGGTGCTGATGGATGGCCTGGTGAAGCCTTAACTTTTGTTCAAAGAACAAATCTAATGTTTGTCATAGGCCAGTGCGGAAGCACTGCTTAACCCCTCATGTTGAAGAATCTAGCAAGTAAACTAGTTAGTACACTGATTGATGTGATTTATTTTAGATTGGGAAATCATAGGAAGTTACTAGAGTTACTAGTACTGCATCTTACTCCATCAAGAGGCGATGGAGTGGGAAGTCTTCAGAATCTTAGAACAACCACCAATTTCTAATGTAGTCTATAACTATAAGAAAAGGAAAAATGCACTACCTGAACACATATCCAGCGAATAGAAATGCACAACAACAATACAGTATTTGAGTGAGGGAATATAGAATGGCAATAACCGACGATCGCTCTCGAAACAGGAACAGAACGACGAAAGAAGCGAGAAATATGAGCTGAAAGAATAAGAATTCTCAAAAATAGTTACAGCTGACGATAAAGGAAGTCAAATTTTCAAAAATGTTTATCTAATTATAAAGATTAACGCCTGTGGGCGTTCATAAATCCCTTCCAAAAGATGCGTCCCCCATTCGACTTCCATTTAAAATCCTAGTATCGTATTGAATGCTCATGTTGCCTATACCATGACTGGTGGTAACATCCAAAGTACAATCCTCCCAAATGAGTCTGGTGACAATGAACCGACCCAGGGATGGAAGGCTTGATTGGTCTCGGCAGATACCAGATAAGAGATTGAACCGTGTGTGTGACAGTGCGCCGCGTGCCTAAACCGCCTGCGCCCTTACTAAAGTGTAGTGACAAGTGCCACACTATAAGACACATGATGCAGGGTTCGAATCCCGGATCGGTACTCGCCTAGTTCAACCAAGACTTCCGTCCCTTCAAAGTCGGTTAACTGGCACCAGAATCGTCTGGGACCATAAAATCATCTAGTACATCGGCTGGCCTATTTCATTGAAAAAGCTACATACATATTCAAACTGCTACTACGATTCTGAGTGGAAGTGGAAGGCGGATGCGCATCCCTCGGGCGGTGATTGATCCCAGAAGACTTTATTTATCCTCACTATATACAGCTTGCGCTGATATCAAAATAAACACCAGTTTTCATTTCATGAAGAAATATGAACAAAATTTTGAATAAGAAAATACGAACCGTTACAATTGAAACAAGAGATGCCTGCACTGCAGGTGCAAGTGACAAGAACCGCTCTGATGAACCACGATGACGAGCTCTGGAAAAAGGCGACGATTAGGCAGGCAGAGCTCTTCAAGTAAAAACATACCTCCACAAACTGCCCAAATAAATATTCCATATTGCGTATGAAACACATAGTGCACAGAAGAGCACAGTAGGTGAGAGGTAATTGGCAAGAAACAGCCAGTCAATTCGCTCAAACACCCTGCAAAGTTAGAAGTTCAGCTAAAAAAGGAAGATTATGAAAATTTTACAGACCAGCTCGAGAGCGTCAGTTTGAAAGCGTGACCGATAAAGGCGTCAAAAACAAACAAGTGACAGCTAGGAGCAATACTCACCTGGTAAGGTTGTTATCGTAGTTGTTGGAGAAGAAGTACGTGGTAAATGTCAGCACAGCGGGAAGAACTGAATAGGAGATTATTCAGATATATGGGTCTGTTTTCAGTAAATATAAATTTTGGCACTCGGCTGCTTTATCAGATACAACTTATTCTTCAGACATGAGGCTTGCTTTCCGAGTTACAGAAGAAGAGAACACTCTTTGTTGAGCCATTGATGTTAGCATGAGATTGTCGACTGGACGCAGAAAAGGGTCCGTACCTCGAACGTTGAGCGCTCAGCGCCCAACGCTCAGCATTTGACATTTGAGTTTGTTCCCAAGAGCTAGCCGCTAATTGTATCTCATGGTAAATGCACCTTTCACCAGTTTCATTTGAGAAATTGTCACAGAGGATATATCGGCTTAACGGCAACTTTGGACGCAGTACTTTTGGCTGAGAAATTTTAACAAATTCCCAAAATACTCACATATTCCGAGTCCGATTACCGAACATGGACGGGTGCAGCATTTCTCTCCTTCCTCCTTCGCTCTGTCATGTGCCATTAACACTGCCCTTATCGAACTTAACACCAAATACAGTGTTGCTGTCACAGATATAATGGAGAACTGTAGGATTAGATGTAGTGAGGGCGACAGGGCAAACGGATCGCCCACCTGAATGATAGATGTCTAGAAAGCCTAAGGTATGCGCTTCTTCCATATTCATAATTTTCAGACATGACGATACAACTATTTCTGATCACTAGATTTTCTAGTACATTTTGCAAATCTAGTAAGACATTTTGAAACTAGTTGACATAGTTTTTGATTAGAAAAACACACAAACTAGTTTGGCCCATGAGTAGGACTTTTGGTTATATGTATAAATGTGATAGAATTCTGGACCATTACATGAAATTGAGAATGTTTTCGAAAAGCGGTATTACCGCAGAGGGCTCTCAACTAGTCAACACCTATCTCAGCAAGGGCCTCGATAGAATTACTTGATAAAAACCTAATCAAACCACTCCAACAAACCTGATGATTTCGCGAACGTACGCGATTGACTGTGCTACAAAAAAAAATGAAGTATTTTTTTCTGCTGCTAGTACTCCCTGATTGTCACCTTAGGTAGCAGTGAATGCCATCAAATAGAGCATCGCTGATAAAGAAGGTAGGTAAGATCAGGGACCAACATGGCCTTATATTGAAAGAGTCCCGAAATGGTTCTAGAAGAAAAATTATACGATGGAGATAAGCTGCTTCGACTTAATGTAGCGAAGGATGCGGAACGGAACCCCCCTCCCCTTCCCCCCACCCCCCACTGTGGAAGCTTGGACTTCTTTGTACGATTAAAAATGCTTACAATGATGGTACCGATCAAATAATCTAGCGGCTACACTAAAAGAGCACAGGCTATCTATTAGACCGAGAGTGAAAGGTAAAAACGCCTGACATTGGCTCTTATCGAGGTCTATCCTCTCTACATACGCTAGCTCTTCTTTAAGTTGACGTTGAATGCGCGGAAGCTCGAGAAGAGTTTTTCATCAGCAGAGAAGGCGAGTGTTATTTTTGACATAACTTTGCCAAACTATATAACAATTCTTTTTCCACGTGCTTTGTTGCTTTTGAGTGCATTCTTAAGTACATTGTCGCTTGACTTTTCTTACAGGCCCAAATCGCAGCAAGTGCAAAAGTGTACAGAATATTGGAGTTGTAATATACAGCGACCTCTAACCGTAATCAAATGGCATACAGTTAGTCAGTTGAATTCACAAGTCTTACAAACTGCAATGAAAAAAAAATCCGAAAAATGGAAGGGAGTGCTTGTCGGAATATTGAATTTCTGGTCCTCTAAAAGGGGTGCCTCCTCACCTGCGGTGCGACAAGCATCACGAGATGTACCACAAGAATCATAAACACAAAGAATAGATAGACCAACAAAGCCAGATCGACAGAGCGGTTCCTGAAAGAAATAACGATCAGCTCAACAAGAATACTTATATTTAAAGATCGCTATAAACGTATGGGAAAGATCCATGGACCGGACTGGTTGGACTGCTCATGTTGGATTGCTCGCATAATTCCTTGGAATCACTTGGAATGCTAAGACCCAATCTAAAGCAGCGCCCACCCGACGAGTACCATGACCTGGGAAGTTGTTGATCTAGAAAGTTCAACAGCAGAACCTACTTCTGCACCGCTGCCATGAATAACAAGAAAATGGAGCAGATCATTGAGATGAACGTCGTCACCGTCGGCAATAGCACGCCAAGGTCTCGCATGGCATCATCGTCGTCAAAAAAGTAGCTTTCCTGAAATTGCTTTCTTCAGTCGATGTTAGCGACTTAACGAAGTAGAGGATCAACTTTTTTTCTGCATTATTCAACCCAATTCTCAAATACCGGCTCAAATTGTACTTACACGTATCGGAATCGTTAGTGCGTTTCAATCGTATCTCTCTGAACAATAACTACGAGGCAGATCTGGTCAAAAGATAGCGCACCTAGTAGGATACATTCACATACCCATACATATGTACATACATACATACATACATACATACATACATACATACATACATACATACATACATACATACATACATTGGATAGTTAGGGCGACCTCGCGATAGCTACCAACATGGGATTCAACCTGTACTGGGTAATACGTATGATAACTGTGGCAATTAGCACTACCCTACTGACACCATCCTAACCCTGCCATCTGTTGGGCGACACAGGAGAAAACAAAATAAGTAAACGACCAAAGACGTACTGGCAGCAATGAGAACACTCCCATGTGATTGGCCTCACATTTCACAAATCCGTGATAGTTGGTGTCGATACGGCGGATTCCACGAGTCGACCAGCCTCCTTCTGAAAACAAATTTAGTTAACAGTTTGCTACGCACATCGAAGCGAGCATCACAAAGAGCACCTCGAACAGAGCTATGATTCATGACTTAATCTTCACTCTCGTGGCACTTGGCCTATAGGCCTTAATGCGATTCAGGTATGAATTCGATGAATTCATGTAGAAAGTAGAGCCCACTAAGGAGATGCTTGGCCTAGTGTGTCTCCCGGGTGTGTCTCCTGGTTTCATTCGATCATTTCGAGAAAGACAGACACATGCACGCACTATATTCAGTATGCAATGATGGTTATTCTAGACCGTTTTTGACAAAGTTATAAGCGTCTGATTTCAATTCCGCCTCCCATTGGAATTCGACCTGACCGATAGCCTCCAGACTACTTCTTGGGGAACTAGAACGTTTTCGAGCGGAGATATGAGTTCCAGTGACTCACCAGCTGAATCGAAGTAGACGCATGTGTAGTTGTGACGAAAGTCCTTCGGCTTGAGCATAATAGTCATTTTCGTAAAATAAACGTGCTCTAGCGAGTCCAATTTCAGAGAGAGTACCGGATTTCTGAAAACCAATACAGTACTGAGGAAATCATTCCAAAGACGCGGGTCATCGGAGACACTTTTTGCAACAGAAGAAACCGAAGACTCAAATCTACTCTCCCAGGTGAACCAAGCAATCTACATCTCTCCGGGACGAATAATTGGAAAAGGACCTGTTTGGAAGGATAAAAGCACTAAATAGCACACCAGATAGGAACTGCAAGTCATTATGCCGGCCACATAAGCATTCGAAACGCCACTAATTTTGAATGGAAGTCGCATGCAAGTGCGCATCTCTCATACGAGACTGATTCAAGCCAAAAGACTTAAAGACCCTAAGACGGCCTTGGAAAGATTATCCCCAACCGAAAAAACCTGTCCCTGTCCCCATGACAACGCTTACTATTCAAATTATTTCTAAAAATCGAACGTCGATTTTAAGCTGACAAAAATATCAATATTATAGTAGACTAGTTTCAAACGTACTGTGAATTAATAACGTCGAATAAGGAGGCATTGGCCATGCATATGCTCCTGACAACATGATCCGTGTCGATCACCGGCAGCTGATAAGAAGAAGGGTTAGAGCGAAACTTTAATACAAAAAAGACCTTCTAGTCATTACCTTCACCCGACACTTAGTACCCAGTACAGTGTCGAAGTTTTCGCTGCCCTTCACCCACTGCATTGCCTTCAGATGAAGTCCAAGATCTGGCGAAACCAGGGTGAATGGCGACGGCAGGCGCGTAGAAAATTCGGACAGGATCGACCACATTTCAGTCTAGAAACATCAAGGTTGTCCAATTTGCAGCACACCAGAGTTTCAGAAATTTTATCATTAATAGTCAAAAACGGACTGGGTCGCAGCAATCGCTAGCCTAAGCAAGTTATATTTACATCTTGAACTGAGAAATCTAAGGGATAAACCAAAACTCAGACGGAAAATTGTATTTAAAGAGAAAAACTGTATGGTCATCATGGCGGCAGTTGGAAAAGCATCTATTTTTCCATCTCAGCTGTTCATTCCGGAAGATTAAGGTAAGTGCTGACCTTGGCCAATGAAGTGTTCCCTTGCAGTGAGTCAAAATCAATCTGGAGAACAGAATCAATGACGAGAGCTGCTTGTTCGGCGATTTTCTGATCGAAGTGAGCGGCGATGGTGGGATCCGTCGAAAATGCTGGTACAGTAAGCAGATCACGAATGAATCTGAAGATCCAATGATTGTGTTCATGTATGCGTCCATGAAGAAGAGAGCTTACCTGGCTACAGTATGTATAGTCGAAACCCCATTCGCGTTAAGAGCAAATGTGCCAAGCATTCCGAGATGAGTGAGAACAGATGCCTGAGAAAAGTAGATGAAGTTTTTGTGAATAAAGGAGATAATGCAAAACCGCATTATCCTTCGTTGCTAGGGAAGCGCAGGATAGATGCCGGCTTCTAACCTTAAGAAGATTCTTGGCCGTATAATTCCTTTAAGCTGATGATGTGGCTTATTCCTACAATCTCGACAAGCAACAGCTCTCCGTTTGTTCAAGTTTAATACTCAAGAGCTGATTCCAGGGCGAGCCAGTGCAAGGAACTCAGAAAAGGACGCTTGCGAACAGAAAGGGGGTTCAGAAGGAGTCGACAAAATTTACATTACAAAAGATGGTCCTCATTAAACAAACGGAAAATTCCGAAAGGGAAAACCTGAAGGCCACTACAGTATCAACCACAGCATTAGTATCTCACAGCAGATCCAAAGATTCCTTTTACAGAACCATTTTCGCGCACCTAAATCTTTTCATCGTCCACGACATTCGAAACAACTTCTCCTCACACAGACTGCTGCAGCTCATGACACTGCCTTCCCCACTTCCCCCTCAAGGTGAGCCAAGGGATACGAGTTACCCCCAGTAGCTTCCTCCTTACAATCAGTTTGTCCGATTCTGATGGTTAACAAGCCATACCTGAGGTTTGCATTTGTCCTTCTCTTTCTGGCGAGCCCATACAGCTCTACCTAGTTGTTTATTCCATTCGCAAGCTCGCTCCACTTTCTGCTTGTCGCTTTCGGTGTTATATGGACCTTCAAGAATCATTTGTAAAAGTTCCAATAACGACCTTTCAACGGAAAACAGAGCTAGGCAGTAAAACAATGTATGACCCACACTACGTGATCAATGTTATCGTAACTCGTCCAGAGATTTCCTGTTTCCTCCCTCAAGTATAAATCGAAACAAAATAAGCGAATCTTACATGAAACTTGAACAGTAGCGTTAGCAGATGCTTCTCGCCAGTCCAGTCCGCCATAGCTGTCCACCGTCTTCTCAGGTTGGCAGTTGTCTGAAAGCATTCTCGTCCCCTCTCGATGATCTCATCAAACGTCGCACTCGATAAAGCCTAATGGGTGTCAGTTGTGGGTGTTTGGCGCAATTAAGTGGCGGCTTGAGGTGCTGTTTCCGGGGTGCTTATGTCACCGCCAAGAGGCGAGCTCTAAGGGGTTGCGCGTTTGCGGTTAGCCGGTCACCCAAGCGCGGAAATTGACGTATCCGCGCGATTGGGCCAATCTCGAGACGCATTCATAATGGATTGGGGAACAGTTATGACCCACAGATAAAAGCCTCTCGACGTTGCGCAACCCGGCTGATGGTGTAAATACGACGGGATTGACGCCATGTAACCAGATGCGCGTCTGGAAGTAAGCGGCTAGGCGGAAGCTGTGTGGAAATTGAACTTCCGGTGGTGCTATCAATGGCGACCAGAATTTTGATAGGCAGAAGCCGTCAAATCGTTATGATGAAAAGCTTCAACTGACCAGTCTTATCGCATCCAACACCGATGAACCCATGAAAGCATTGACAGTGAGCGCCACGACTGTCTACAAACTGCTCGAGACGATTAAATGCGCCGTAGTAGCAGAGCGGAACACCTCCAGAGGAACATTCTCCATCACAGGACAAATCTAAAATGATTTCGTCATCAAAAAGTAGTGCGCTAGGATTAATGGAGGGTACGATACCGTTCTGGAAAACGGTGAATCTCTGCCATTCGCTGGGCGTTTCACCGTTGGCATCCAATGCAGACACTTTGAAGGTGAAGTTACCAGACGGAGAAATTGCTACCTGGAATGAAGCGTCGCCGTAAACGACAAAGAGAATAGAGTTTTTGAAAATCAGAAGGTGAAGTCAGATTTAAATGAACGATTGTGCCCTTGGTTCCATCTCCGAAAGCTAAAAGGCGCAGCACAGAGTAACGTTTGCCTGTTATAGGGGCGATAGGTCATTAGGTCTGAATAGCAGGTTTAGTCACCCATATCCAAAAAAACTAGACTTGGTAGTTGTAACAAACGGCCCTGAAAACGCTTTCTGAGAAAAGCTTCCAACTAAACCATTCCAAAGATAGCAAAGCGACTACCCGAAAAAGTATTGCGGCAAAATACTGACCCCATTGGTTGGTTGGTCGACTGGATGCCTTCAATTTGTATATACAGTTTTATAAAATAGTAAGTTGCCATGGGTAAAAGCTTTTCTTAGCAAACCTTGGTAAGAGCTACTGTTCGTCTAGCGTCCAGCTCTTCTTCATAATGCATACTCTCTCCTCTGGCTATGGTCAGCCGATACTTCTCCGGATGGCCATACGAAGGCGATTCCCATTCGAAGATTTGATACCCTTCTGTGGCTACGTTAACTCGCAATCCTCGCACCGCTGAATCGAAGTTTATTCGACTTTTTACCTGAGTTATTTCATCGTTTACTTACGTGATACGGTCACTGGAACAATGGTCACATTAGCGAGGGTGAACAGCTGCGGGCTACCGTAATCTATCGCGAGAACCTGTATGGTAGAAGTGATTTAACGGTCGTTCAGCCAAGGATCATCAAGGAGACCACTGACCTCCATTCGGATAGGCTTGAAAGCTATTTGGGTGGTGAGTTCTTCTTTGAGGATTAGGGTGCCGTCAGACTGCACCGAGAACAAAGGCTGCTCATGAGTGAAACTCAGACTGCGCTCCGAATTGTATATGACAGGATCATTGTCGTGAACCTGAAGAATTTGAAATGAATAAAAAAGAAAAGTTATTCAGGGGCAGTCTAAAAGGGCTTTCTCTATAGCCGGCTCAGACAGCAGTCCATTCTCTCTCTATTGGGTTAGTAACGCCAGTTCACGAATGTAGGCTACCCTGTCTCAACTTTCTACAGCACAAACCGATAAATGTATACGGTAATGGTAAAGTTTTAGCGGAGAGAGTACATTAAGTCTCGGCAAAATATCGCCTCTTTCGTCAAACCTTCCTCTCTAATCGAGATTCCCTTTTAGCTTCCATTCCAGAAAACAACACTTTTAGGGCCTAAGCCCAAGCTTATTGTCAGTATCTCTGCGTACCCGCATCAAAGACAATCAGTCAGATAAAGTAGTCGAGTTGACGGATAGTCTAATTAATGCGGAACAAGGCTGAAAAATTATTTCAAGGGCACAGTTCAAGACAAAAGTGATTTCGGAAATTTTTCTGAGATGAGCCCGTAACCTTGAAGGATAGCACGAGGGAAGCTGTTGGGTTGGAAAACGTCCTAGATAGGTCGTAATAGGGGCATCAATACCGGCTTGGCCGACGTGCACACCCGTAGGTGGACGAATTCTCACGGAGTTGCAGAAAATGGAGATTGCGCCATCTGCCCCGCGACGCACACACCGCACGAAGGCAGCTTACAGAAGGCGGCTGTACGCAATGGCACACACATTTGAATAGCTCGTCCGAACTCTTCAATTTTCGTCGTCGCATTCTCCTCTAACCCCTGTATTACGACTTTTTCAAGTTTTACATCTGTCTGATTACGCCGATTTTCGCATTTTCCACTTCGCCACTTCTGCATTATCGGATAATCACTTCCATTATTCGTCTGAAACTGGGTACCTTGAGATCATCGTGAATTGTGCCTTAACCACCTTACGAGTCTACAAAATCTAATGTCTTAAAGTTACCTGGAATTAGTGATTTCACCACGGGCTTATTATTGCCGGAGCACGAAGCAAAATTGCATGGATTTCAATTTCATGACAATTGTATTCTTTGATTTCTACTTAAGGGATCCTGAGAGGTTGGACGCTGACGACTACAATGTTTACTGAGAAGGCGAAAAGCCATAGTGGTCAACGATTGGTCAACCTTAATTGAATGTTTGTTAGGAACTCATGGCTTAGTCTTGATCCCACGCAATTACTGGCTTTAAATCAAAGCCAGACGTTGGACCGTCGATAAGGCTTACAGCCTTAGAAGAGCAATATAGTCCGTTCCCCTCATGAAGATTCGTTTATGGTACGATATGAAAAGAAATTGTCACACAACATACGATACCCAAAAGACGATGTAAAAATGAAGTAATACATAGTTAGACTACATAGCCTCCTGGCACAAATCTTTACGGGGATGTGGATATAGGGATGTATCAAATTCATGTAAACGAGCTCCTGCCCTGAAGCACGTACCTCCATCTTACCGACTTGCGCTCCCACAGTCAATGTCACCGGCACGAAGAAATGATAGTCCGGTTTGGAGAAGGTGGGCGGATGGTGATTCCGATGAGTGATATGAACTCGAAAATCGAGGGAATGCATTCGATTACCCGTGCAAAGTCTGAAATTCTCTTGGGATCGTCTTAGTAATCAAATCGAGGCTTGATCTGCTTACAAATGTAGTGTTCCAGTCAGATCACCACTGGGTTTCACTGCAGGCAAACTGCTTGCGGTGTAGAAGGC